GCGAAGAAGACAATTAGCTCAAATGGGGGCAATGTCCTACTAAGTAACTATGCCAATTACAAAGAAAGAATGGATAATTTGATTATGGTTGTGACACACCCCACTCCGTGTAACACTACTGGATCCGGGCGTGGCATTCGCCGATGATAGATACCAATTAAAAGTCGAACTCACTATCAAGGCTACTACAAGTACAATATATCACTTTTTATACATCATTTTTCTAACAGGATTTCGGTATTATCTCCCCTGTAAACAGGACTAACCAACTTGTGATCAATTTTATACAAATCACAAACTATAACACAATACAATAAAGATAAGCTGAAACCTCAACCTTTACCAAGAAATAAAATGAAATATACCTATGGATACAGTATATATAGTGAGCCCGATAACTATCTACAAGTGATGCAAAATCACATCTAGACATGAACACGCGTCCCAAAACACTGACTACATGTTCTATGAAGTGAGTCATACTAACAAACTCTGTCAGGTGGCTCTGACTCCAAAATCAAGGCTCAACTCCAAAAGGTGCCCAGATTCTCGACTACTGCTTGATAAGAAAAAACGTGAAAAAATATATGAGTTGATAGTTCAGTGAGTGGAGAAGTTTAAAATAAATATACTCTTTCATTTATACATTTTTATTGAAAATTAAATTCATATCATTTGATAATTCACAAGCTACCATCATGTACTTATAGCCAAAAAGTGAAATATTCACATAAGGTCATAAAATATTATCTTAAAATCATGATATAAATATCAGCTGATAACCATGCTATAATCTCATCACATCAAACTTGCTGAAAAATCCACCAAAAATGTACCCTCTAACTGAAATATATAATCCATCCCTCGGGTTAAGAACTTTCGCCACATCACATACCAAGTCACAAAGGTACCATAAATAATCTTTGAGATTCCACATGTATCATACTAAAAGAGATTTCCATAATAACCATATAATTCGAACACATAATTCCATATAATTGCACATACTTTAACAATATACTTAATTTATAAATATTTTAAAAATATTTATATTTTTCCATTCACAGAACTTTATACGCCAAAATCAACTCGGTTGGTAAGCTGTCCCGATATCCGTATCGCCGCCTGAAATATAATATAATTTTTAAATCAACAATTAACTATTTTATATAATTTCAATAATTATATAGGCGATACCAAAATTTAATTATTTTTTGTTTAGGCGATTTCTAAAATCTCTTTAATTACGAAAACTAATTTTTCTTTTATTTTACTCAATTTCATAGTCTATTATACTTAACCGTTTTAGTAAAATTGAATTTAATCTAACAATCTAATAGCCATAAAATCAAACATAACCTTTCAATAAGTAACTTTTTACTTACCTTTCAAAATTGAGGAATTCAATCCTAATAGTATAATCCACTTAATTCCTAACACGTTGGCAAATTTTCCCTTTTTTTCCTTCTTTTTCTTACTGAAAACGCATCTACTCTTCACTTTCCCATGTCGTTTCTTCTATAGCATGATTCCTCCACAAGACTTTAACCAAAGGAATAGTCTTAGTATACAAGATTTGTTCTTTTCTATCCAATATCTGAACTGGTTCTTCTTCATAGGTAAGATTTTCCTTCAGCTTTACTGATTGTGATTCCAAAACATGAGATAGATCTTGAATATACTTACGAAGCATGGAAACATGGAATACATCATGAATTCTGGATAATTCTGTTGGCAAAGCCAATTGATACGCAACTGGACCAATGCGTTCAACATTCTCATAGGGCCAATATACCTCGGACTCAATTTACCTCGTTTACCAAATCTTATAACACCTTTCCATGACGATAATCGCAGGAAAACTCTATCCCCAACATCAAATTCAATGTTTTTTCTGCATCTATCTGCATAGTTCTTCTATCTATCTTGGGCTGTCTTTAACTTTTCGTTAATTATCTTTACTTTCTCAGCAGTAATCTAGACATATTCAGGACCCAATAACTTTCTTTCACCAACTTCATCCCAACATATTAGAGTTCTACATTTCCTATCACATAGTGCTTCAAAAGGAGCCATTTCTATACTCGAATGATAACTGTTATTATAAGCAAATTCCATCAAAGGAAGATGAGTATCCCAATTCCCTTTGAACTATAGTACACAAGCTTGTAACATATCTTCTAGAGTCTGAATAGTTCTTTCTGACTGACCATTTGTTTGTGAATGAAAAGTTGTACTAAAATGAAGTTTAGTACCCATAGGTTTTTGCAAAATGGGCCAAAATTTAGAAATAAAACGAGAATCTCTATATGAAACAATAGATACTGGTGTCCCATACAAATTGATTTTCTCATCAACATATATTTTTGCCAATTTCTCTAACGAGTAATTGACTTTAATAGGCAAAAATCTAACAGTCTTCGTTAACCTGTCTACAATGATCCAAATGCCATCATGTCCACTTTAAGTACGTGGAAGTCCAAATAGAAAATCCATAGTAATGTGTTCCCATTTCCACTCAGGAATAGTCAACATTTGTAACAATCCTACTGTTTTCTGACGATCTGGTTTCAGTTGCTGGCAAATGAGACATCTGGATACAAACTCAGGTATTTCTCTCTTCATTCCATGCCACCAATAGTGTTCTTTGAGTACACAATTCATTTTTGTACTACCTGGATGCGTCGCGTAAACTGAACTATGTGCCTCTTCTAGAATTTCTCCCTTCAATTTCAAATAATCTGGAACACATAATTTATTTTTCATAACTAAAGCTCCGTCATCTCGAATGGTATAATCTGTATGCTTACCTTTACTAACTTCTTCTTTCAATTTGCTTAACACTTGATCTTGAGTTTGAGTTTCTCTAACTATGCCAATCATAATAGGCCTCACTTGGAAGTCTGAAAACAATGCTCCTACACTGGTAACTGATAATTAGGCATGAGAAGCTCTGAACTCACCAAACAAAGATAAACATACTGCATTAGTCTGGGTTATAGGACTCAATATTTTTTGACTAAGAGCATCGACAACTACATTAGCCTTCCTTGGATGATAATCAATCTTACAATCGTAATCTTTTATCAGCTCTAACCATCTTCTTTGCCTCAGTTCTAGCTCTAAGTCATGTGTAGGATAACTCAGTTCATGTTTCTTCAACTGCCTGGAAGCATACGCTATAACTTTCCTATTCTACATCAAAACACAACCAAGACCCTGACGTGAAGCATCACTATATATCACAAACTCTTCACCAAGAGATGGAAGGGTAAGAACTGGAGCTGACACTAATCTATTCTTCAATTCGAGGAAACTTCTTTCGCAATTTTCATTCTAAACAAATTTAGCATTCTTTCTAGTCAAACTGGTCAAAGGCAGAGCAATTTTAGAAAACCCCTCTACAATACGATGGTGATCACCTGCTAAGCCAAGAAAACTTCAGATTTCTATCACATTAGTAGGCCTTTCCCAGTTTACCACTGCCTCAGTTTTCTGCGGGTCAACATAAATTCCTTCTGCTAATATGACATCCCAAAAATACAACTCTATCAGGCTAGAATTTACATTTACTTAATTTAGCATACAACTGCTTATCATGTAGAGTCAGCAAGATGAGTCTGAGATGTTCTGTGTGCTCATCATGATCTCAAGAGTATATTAAAATATCATCAACAAATAAAATCACACATTTGTCTAAATACAGGCAAAACACTCTATTCATCATATCCATAAATGCTGTTGGTACGTTGGTCAACCCAAATGGCATCACAAGGAATTTAAAATGACCATACCTTGTCCGAAAAACAGTGGCACATCACTGCCCTTGATTTTAAGTTGATGATACCCAGAACACAAATCAATCTTTGAAAATATTATAGTTTCGCGAAGCTGATCAAACAGATCATCAATACGTGGCAAAGGATATTTATTGTGAATTGTAATTTTGTTCAATTGTCTATAATCTATACACAGTCGCATGGTGCCATCTTTCTTCTACACAAACAAAACTGGTGCTCCCCACAGAGATACACTAGGTCTGATGAAACCCTTGTCTACCAACTCTTGCAACTGAACCTTTAGCTCATTCAATTCTGCTGGTGTCATTCTATAGGGTGCCCGTGAAATAGGTACAGTTCCTGGAATCAGATCTATAGTGAATTCCACATCCCTGTCTGACGGTAAGCCTGGTAATTCTTCAGGAAATATATCAAGAAAGTCTTTGACCACTGGGATGTCTTCAAGTTTTATTTACTAATATCCATATCAATTATATGAGCCAAATATGCATGACAGCCCTTGTTGAGTAATCTTTTAGCATCAATAGCAGATATCACACAAGACGGTAAAATTCGGTGCTGTCAATTGAATATAATTTCAGGCTATCCTGGCTATCTAAACACAACCTCCATTCGAAAGCAATCAACTGAAGCTCGATTTGTTGCCAGAAAGTCCATACCCAATATAACATTGAAATCATGTATGTCAAGAGGTCTTAAATTTGCCTTCAGCTCGTTCTCCTTTACCTTAATCCCACAATCTCGATATATATTCTTTGATAATAGTGATTCTCCTATCGGTGTATTCACTACCAAACAACTGCTTAAAAGTTCTGGCTTTTGATTCGCATATATAGCAAATATAAATGACATAAAAAGATGTGTAGATCCAGGATCAATCAAAATACAAGCATTTCTATCAACAATAGACAACATACCCATGATAACATCTGGTGACTCCTCTGCCACCTGCTGAGTCATAGCAAAAACTTTGCCCTGGTTCTTCAGCCATCCTGCCTGCCCTTTTGATTTTGTACCACTATCGCTTGCGATATTAGATTGGGCCATACTGTTTACACCTGCTCTGTTAGCTGAATCATCTCTTTGAGTCTGATTTTGTCTTGTACTACTAGCACTATGTTGAGGAAACATCCTCTATGCCATGCCATCCTCTTAAAATACAACTGGGCAATTCCTTTTCAGATGTCCTTTTTGGCCACATCAATAGCAAACACCAACTCCCTTGAACTTTAAACACTCTCCAGGATGAGATCTTCCACATAATTGGCAAGAAGAAAATCTGGCACTAGTAGAACTCTTTCCCTGTCTCAGAGTAAATGATTTTTGGGAAGAACCCTGGGTATAATTATGACTGGCCAATGGCTATTGTACAGTACTAGGACTGAATCTAGGACCCTGACTTCCTCAAAATCGAGATTTGAGTTGACCTGAAATTGATACACTAGGGCAAAATCCTCTATTGTCCCTCTGTAGTGGTCTATAGCTAGAAACACTTGCCATTGTCTAACTATTGCCTGCTATGGATATTGTTTGTTTTCTACCACTTGGCCTATTAGAAATACTCTTTTCTACTTTCAAAGCTGATTCCACCAATTTGCCAAAATACATTCCAGTCTGCAGCTATTACTACTGATCGAATTTCTTCCCTTAACCTATTTTCAAATCGTCTGCATTTATCAATTTCATTACTTACCAAAACTTGGGCATACTTTGAAAGTTTAATAAATTTTTCCTGATATTCTGCAACTGTCATCTGCCCTTCTACTAGCTTCAAAAATTCCTCCTGCCTTCCATCTTTATAGGAGTAAGGGTAATAAGCATCGTAAAAGATATGACGAAAATCTATCCAAGTAATGATAGAAGGGTCTAAATATGTACTCTGTACCGACTGCCACCAATCATATGCACACTCCTCTAATGAAAAAGTGGCGAGACACAACTTCTGATCATCTGAGCAACCCATAACATCAAATACCCTCTCTATCTTGGTCATCCATGCTTGCGCAATTGCAAGATCGGCTGTGCTAGTGAAAACTTTAGCCCCTAACTTTGTAGCCCTCTCAATATTGAAATCTCTATTAGTACTAAGCATAGTCGAGACAACAACAATAACAATTCTTTCAACAGCCATATGATCAGTTCCAATCGTATTTCCCTGTCCCCGTTTGTTCAAGGGGCTGGTGAACTAATTCTTCTACCCTCTCGGGCTCTTTCAGTTCATCTCTATCAAGAGCAATGTGAGACTAGGGTAACGTATCTTGGAGCCTTCAAGTTTTGCCACCACAAGGCATGACTCACCTACAACTATACATGATATGCTAAACATCAGAATGTATGCATGTACAGTACAAACCTATAGACTCTAATGCATGCTATGATACCAAACTGACACATCCCGCCCTGTGTAACACTACTAGATCCGGGGGTGGCATACGCCGATAATAGATACAAACTAAAAGTCGGACCCACCATCAAGGCTACTACAAGTACAATATATCACTTTTTATACATCATTTTTCTAATAGAATTTTGACATTATCTCTCCTGTAAACAGGACTAACGAACTTGTGATTAATTTCATACAAATCTCAAACTATAACACAACACAATAAAGATAAGCCGAAACCTCAACCTTTACCAAGAAATAAAATGAAATGTACATATGGATACAAAATATATAGTGAGCCCCATAACCATCTACAAGTGATGCAAAATCACATCCAGACATGAACATGCGTCCTAAAATACTGACTACATGTTCTATGAAGTGAGTTATACTGACAAACTCTGTCGTGTAGCTTTTACTCCAAAATCAAGGCTCAACTCCAAAAGGTGCCCAGATTCTCAACTGCTGCCTGATAAGGAGAAAACGTGAAAAAATATATGAGTTGATAGCTCAGTGAATGGAGAAGTTCCAAATAAATATACTTTTTCATTTATACATTTTTATTAAAAATCAAATTGACATCATTTGATAATTCACAAGCTACCATCATGTAATTATAGTTAAAAGTGAAATATTCACATAAGGTCATAAAATATCATCTTAAAATCATGATATAAATATCAGCTGACAACCATACTATAATCTCATCACATCAAACGTGCTGAAAAATTCACCAAAAATGTACCCTCTAACTGAAATATGTAATCCGCCCCTCATGCTAAGAACTTTCGCCACGGGCTTTCGGCCCCTTCCGTGAACGAAAGTCGGTCTCAAAAACATCGCATAATCAATTCTAGAATACGGCCAAGGCCCATTGGTGAACTATATGTGCATGATCAAGACCAATGTCAGGTTAAGACCCTCCGTGTAGGATAGAACACGGCCAAGGCCCCTCTGTGAACTAGAATAAGTATATAATCATGGGAACGTTTTTGGCCAATCTCGATATTGCATGCTTCACATACCAAACAAATCTCAATATTACATGTCTCACATACCAAATCACAAAGGTACCATAAATAATCTTTGAGATTCCACATGTATCATACTAAAAGAGATTTCTATAATAACCATGTAATTCGAACACATAATTGTATATAATTACACATACTTTAACAATATACTTAATTTATAAATATTTTAAAAATATTTATATTTTTCCACTCACAGAACTATGTATGCCAAAATCAACTCGGTTGGTAAGCTGTCCCGATGTCTGTATCGCCGTCTGAAATATAATATAATTTTTAAATCAACAATTAACTATTTTATGTAATTTCAATAATTAAATAGACGATACCAAAACTTAATTATTTTATGTTTAAGTGATTTCTAATGTCTCTTTAATTACTAAAACTAATTTTTCTTTTATTTTACTCAATTTCATAGTTTATTATACTTAACTCTTTCAATAAAATTAAATTTAATCTAACAATCTAACAACTATAAAATCAAACACAACCTTTCAATAAGTAACTTTTTACTTACCATTCAAAATTGAGGAATTCAAACCTAATAGTATAACCCACTTAATTTCTAACATATTCGCGAATCTTTCTTTTTTTTTCTTCTTTTTCTTCCTCTTTTCCCTTTTTTTCTTTCTCTTTTCTCTCTTCTTCTTTCTCTCTGGCTCGTTTTCTTTGTGTGGGTAGTGTGTATTTGTTTTTAAATTGGTTTTGGATATTTATAATGAATTGGCTTGAGTTTCACCACCTGCCCCCTTTTTTTTTGTCTTTTGTCATTTTTTTGTTTTTTTGTTTTTTGACTTTTCTTTTCATTAACTTAAGATATTATGGGTTGTTTTCATCATGTAACTAGATATGACTCTTTTTTTTCAGAGCTTCGTCATCATAATGGAGAATGAGTCATCATTAAAGCAGACAACTCAACTTATCCTGTGGTAAAAGGAGTCGTGAAGATTGGTGCTCCTAATACATATATTAAGATAAATGATGTCTACCACGTTCCACGTTTATAGAAGAATTTGGGTTCTGTTTCTCAAATTACAAATTCTAGGAAATATGTTCTGTTCAGTCCAACTGATGTGAAAATTCTTGACAACTTAAAGAATATTGTAGCTGACGTCATGCTTATCGGTAAACAGAAAGGGTCTTTATTTGTAATTTCAGTAGGAGAGGCATATGTAAATAAAACAAGTTAGTCTCATAACGCAAACATTTAGCATGTCGGCTATAAAATGCTATAACTGAACTCATCAAAGAAGTTGCTAGATAAAATACCAGCTTTAAAGAATGTACATGAGGATGTGATTTGCCAAGGATGTCAATATGGTAAATCTCATCGTGTACGTTGCAAAAGCTTATGAAATCGCGGATCAAGACCGTTTGAGCTCATTCACACAGCTCTAACGGGACCAACAAAAGCACCAAGCTATAGTGGTCATAACTATGCTACGGTGTAGGTTGATAACTATTTCAAGTATGCTTGGGTGTATTTCTTGAAAGAAAAGAACGAAGCATTAGGCGAAATTGTTGAATTTAATAACACTATAAAAGGAGAGTTTGAGGAGAAAATAAACTGTTTGAGAAGTGATAATGGTGGAGAATTCATGTTGGAAGAATGTTTTAAATATTGCATAAGAGGCAAATGACATGTCCGAACACTCCACAACAAAATGGAGCTACATGGAGAAAGTTAGCGCATCTCATCTCAACAAGCCTCTCCTAGTTGCATGACAATAATTTCTTCAAGAATCTAGGATAGAAGTTGTTCATGCGCGTGCCATGTGATCAATCGGCTACCTGCATGGCCATGTAGAGAAGAAGCTCCTTCTGAAACTCTATATAGGGAAAAGCTAAATGTAGATTACCTTCAAGTATTCTGCTCTACATGTTATGTTCACATCCCTATGACCAGTCAAACTAAGCTAGAATCAAAAGCCAAGAAGTACATGTTTGTCGGCTATAACTCAAGCAGAAAGTGGCGAAAATACACGGATTCAACGCAAAGAATTTTGTCATTTGTAGAGATGTTGTGTTCCATGAAGTGTCCTCTTGGCAGTCTGATCAGAAAACAATACTGATGAGTGATGTTTTCTATGATGATCAAGATAATTTGGAGTTGTCTTCTCAAAACAACATGCAAGCACCTTGCAATGATGATTTTAATTGTCAAATCAATGAAGAATTCTCAAGGCAGAGTATTCTAAGTCTAGATGGAGGTGAGTAGGAAATTAGATGATCTATGAGACAATCAAAACAAG